TTTACCAATTGTCCTGATATGTCAAAACTGTCAGACTAATTTTACCATTTTTTTCATTTTTGCCTATTATCTTGTAATCTAAAATAGATAAAGATAAACTTTAGAATGCAAAAATGATCAACAAGACAAGTTCTATAATAAGTCTAATGGTTGAAACGTTCAAATCAATTCCTTCTTAGAGTTGTTGCCTTTGATGATGATTTTTACCAATTTTTTGTGTTTTTGTCTTATATCCTATAAGTTATGATAGATAGATAGAAACTTAAATTAGCAAAAATGATCAGGAAGACAAGATCTTCAATTAAATCAGGAATGGAGGAAATTGTCCAAAACTCCTTATTCGAATTATTGCTCTTTATGACGATTTTCACCATTTTTTTGTGCTTTTGGCTTTTATCTCCGAACTTATAATAGATAAATAGACACTTTAAATCACAAAAATGATCAACAAGTCAAGATATACTAACAAGTCAAATTTTGCCGATATAGTTAGTAGGCTGTCACTCTTTTAAGGAGTGATTGCCCTTAAATAAGGATTTTTTTTTAACCGTCTTTTGTGTTTTGAGTAAAAACTTAACAAGATAGAGAGAAAGTGAACAGACTTAATGATCAGCTATACAAGATAACAAAACAGATTGTTTTTCATGAAGTCTATTTTCCTGTACAATTTTGGATATGCACATAGACCAAGGTTAGTGACACAGGCTCTTTGGAGCCTCTAGTTTAATTCTCTATATATTTAGTATATATTTTTGTCTTATATCCTATAAATTATGATAGATAGATAGAAACTTAAATTAGAAAACAATTATCAGGAAGACAAGATCTACAATTAAATATGGAATGGAGGAAATTGTCCAAAACTCCTTATTCGAATTATTGCTCTTTATGACGATTTTCACCATTTTTTTTGTGCTTTTAGCTTTAATCTCTGAACTTCCTGTACAATTTTGGATATGCACATAGACCAAGGTTAGTGACACAGGCTCTTTTGCTTCTAGTTTAATTCTCTATATATTTGGTATATGGGTTCTGACAGACAGTTTACCTGACCTCTACCTCTTTTCATGATTCAGTGATTAATGTTAAAGTCATGTTATTAAGTCTGTTTCTCAGATACAGATACCATAAGCTGTAGGTCAACTATATGCATTTTATGGAATGATTGAAAGGTGTACATGTTAGTCTGGCAGGTTTCCTCTGACCTTGACCTCATGATTCAGTGGTCAATGTTAATTGTTTTTGTTTTGGTCTGTTTTTCAAATGCTGTACACACTAGGTCAACTCTATTAGTTGTATGGAATAATTGTAAAATTAACATGTCTGTCTGGCAGGTTTCATTTGACCTTGACCTCATTTTCATTGTGCATTAGTCAATACTTAGTTTTCTTGGGTAAGTGTCTCTCTTGGATATTAAAAGCAACAAGGCACTATTTTTGGTGCATTGAATTATTATCAGGTGTACATTGTTTGGAATGTTTCATTTGAACCTATCCTCGCTATGTTTTCCTGGTAAAGGTAGTTCGGGGGTTTAAATTTTCGCGCCTTCTGCGCAGAAAGTTACGCATTCTCTTGTCGTAAACAAATATTTTTACGATAACCTGATAAATACAAAAAACATTCGTAAACAATTTTTTTCAGCGGATAACTTACTTTGAATAATATTTTTTGCAATCATTCAATGAAACGAATATGTTTAATTTATCTTATTATATGACGAAATGTAGCATGTTTACTTCCGGTAAAAGTGAATGGTGAGTAGTCGAAAAAAATCTCAAGAAAAAAGAGAAGATATGAAACAAGTGAACCGCTTATTAAGATGACTGACTTGATTCTCAGGAATAATACATATTGAGAATCATTTTGGTGTATTATTAAGCGGCTCACAAATTAACATCACTGAAACTGGACTTGAAAGTGACAGAGCACCCTTTGAAAAAAATGGCCATGGAGGTAAGATGTTAATTTCGCAATGCGACAATTGCAATAAATAATAGTCTGCTCTAAAGAAATTATGCCGTCGATCAGAAACCACAAGGGGCAATTCTCACAAACAAAATCTGTCAAAAAAATAACAAAATTAATTCTAGATAGAGTTCTGCAAAAACATAAAAACAACAACCGAGTATCAGATCATTCCTATGCTACATTTTGTAAGCCCATAGCACCAACAGAGAACATTACAGCAAGCACATTAACGGATGATGACTTAACATATATACCACCTGATCTTGTACCGTTAAGTCACTGTAGACTAGTGACCGAACTGGACACATTGGCTAACCAGCTAAAAGGTTGCAGAGAATGTAGTTTACCTTTACATTTGCATGATGCAAAATAAAGGGAGTCCGGTGCTATGGTCTGACCGGCATAGTGTACATTATTTGTAAACACTGGTCATGTCAAACCTTAAACAGAATTAAACTAGGCAAGGTCCACTTTGGGAGAGAAATGAATGGTGTTGGAATTTTTGATGCCAATACGAAAGCTGCAACAGGTTTCTTTCATGTAGAGTTTCTAACCTTCCCAACCGCACATATGTCACCTGACATTTTTATTAGTCCTCTGGAAAAATAGTAGTGTCTGTTGACTTTCTTTTATGTTCATCTCATCATAAATCTGTTATTTATAAAATAGCATAACATTTTCTTTGTTGTAAAATTGAGACTGGAAATGGGGAATGTGTCAAGGAGACAACAACCTGACCAAAGAGCAGAAAACAGCCACCGATGGGTCTTCAACAATGAGAAAATCCTGCACCCTGAGGCATGCTTCAGCTAGTCTCGTAACAAAAATGTGTACTAGTTCATTGAATAAGGACGTCATACTATATAAATATAGCTACATCATGTACATGTAAACTCTGAAAGACCGAAATATATAAATATGAACTATAATTAAAAATCATAAAAGACTAACAAAGGCTAAAGGCTCCTGATTTGGGACAGGCACAAAAATGCGGCAGGGTTAAACATGTTTTGTGAGATCTCAAGCCAATGTAGAAAAAACAAACACACAGCATGGCTATATGCACATTAAAACTCAGTTTAAATGAAGTCTTGAGTCCGATGTCAAAATAGGTAACAAAAGAAACTAAACAAAATGACAATTATACATAAATTAACAAATGACTACCAGCTGTTACTGACATGCCAGCCTCAGACCTCAATTTAACTGATTGAAAGATTATGTTTCATCATATGAATATCAACACTATCCCTCCCGTTAGGGGTTTAGTATCATACTATTTGTCGTCTGTTTATGTAGTTCATACGTGTTTCTCGTTTCTCGTTTTTATATAGATTAGACCTTTGATTTTCCCGTTTGAATGGTTTAACACTAGTAATTTTTGGGGTCCTTTATAGCTTGCTGTTCTGTGTGAGCCAAGGCTCCGTGTTGAAGGCCGTACCTTGACCTATAATGGTTTACTTTTTATACGCCCGTTTACGGTACGTATTATGGTATACAGTTGACAGTCTGTCAGTCCGTCTGTCCGTTCGTCCGTCGTCAACATGTCAGACATTTATTCAAAAACGCTTTTACCAATTTGCATGAAACTTTGGTGAATTGTTTATATCTATTGACGTGAGCTCCCTTTCGTTTTTTATAAATTTTTGATTTACCGTTTCCGAGTTTTGGGGTTTTATTCATTAAAAAAGGGGGGATTTTCCAGTTTTCAGACAATTACTCAAAAACAATTTTACCAATTTGCAAGAAACTTTGGTGAATTGTTTATTTCTATCGACATGAGCTCCCTTTTGCTTTTTATAAATTTCAGACCATACGTTTCCGATTTATGGGGTTTTATTCATTACGAAAAGGGGGATTTTTCAGTTTTCAGAAAATAATTCAAAAATGCTTTCAGCATTTTTTATGACACTTTGGTAAATTGTTTATATCTATATTGTAAGCTCCCTTTTGATTTTTATAAATTTTCGATTTTACATTTCCGAGTTATAAGATTTTATTTGTTTATAGTCTGACTACAGATTTACTAAGTAATGCGCAACAGCACAGTGTATTGCACAACAGCAAGAAATCTTTCATATAACCAATTTCAAGTTCTCTGACTACATTTATTCAGAAACCTATAATATATCAAATATTTAATTACAATCCAAATTCAGACCTGTATCAAGCTTGAATATTGTGTCCATTTTTGCCCCAACTGTTCAGGGTTGGACCTCTGCGAGCGTACCCAGCTGCGCTCAGCGAAGCAGTTTATTTAAATTGTTACTTGGATGGAGAGTTGTCTCATTGGCACTCCTACCACATCTTCCTATATCTATCTTAAAATATATAAGAAAAACATAACCCTGTACATCTGTACATGTATAGAAGAATAACATATAAATTATACTTTATTTCAAATTGAAGAAACAAGGCGCTTTTGAAGGGGCAACATAATAAGAAAATAACAATTAAAGTAATACAAAAGAACAATACTGACAGAAAAAATTACTTGATTGAGAAAAATGAAAAAAAAAGCACATCATGTACAAAATCATTAATTATATCTTGGATTTAATATATAAATTATAGCATCAAACACATTTATAACACCATCTGTCTACTGGTATATAAATATATAATTCATCTAAACATCAGCCGAACAATGTTAGATCTGTAAATTTGCTTTCGCAAATTTATTTTGTTCTTCCCTCGCTGGGATTCAAACTCATACTACTGAGATATTGTGGCACAAAATCGTATTGCACTATATCCAACACGTTAGACCACTCGACCACCTAGGCTTCACATATACATATTACATTAAAAAACAATTCTGATAGCCTCAATTACAGAATTTGTAGTGATGATGAAAGGCCTTGTGAAAAACACTTCATTCATTAAACATGTTAAAAAATACACATTGAACCAATTTTTTTGATGTATTCACAATTCATTTTTATTAAACATCTTTTAATAAACAATACAGAAATGATACATACTGGTATTGGCGAGACTCAGCTCAGAAACTTTTTGTCATCACTTAATGTCCATTGCATAGATGCAAAGACCTTGAAAATTAGAGAAAATGAAGCCGGCAGTGTTCTTGATAATCAGGCCATCATGTCACAACAAAGACACTTGCAAAGGGAAATATTGAATTCCACAACAGGTTTGATAACAATTATGGCTATTTTGTATTTATATACATTTTCTTATACTTTACTTTATAAGCCTGATGAGTACTTGATAATATTGGTATAGTCTGAATATGGTCTCGACAAATGCTCAACCAGTCTGGACTCAGTCTCTACAATCTCAACCAAAAAAAAAAAGCAAGAATTTTCAGTTTGTACTTAAATCAGATAGTCACCTTTAATTTTCTTTCTAACTTTTCTAAATCAACTTGGATTTTCATAAAACTATACAGCTATCTTAATTATATATTGATCTTACAAAATGCAGGTAATGTGGCTATTTTGTTGATTGCCATAAAATTTAAGGATTTAATTAATAGGTAAAAAAAAGTCACAATTTTCAGTTTGGTCTAAATGCATAAAGATACCTATAAATTAAATTTTAAAATTTGACAGCAATAAACAAAAGTTGCGAAAACTACCAAATAACCTGGTATTTTGCAAGATCAATATTTAATTGAGATAGCTAAAGATGTTGAAAAATCAGAATTATAACTTGAAAAAGTTATGAAAATATTTAAAGGTGACTATCAGAATTTAGTCCAAACTGAAAATTCTAGCTTTTTTTAACCAATTAATTAAGTCCTTAAATTTGATAGCTACACTCTAAACTACCAAACAACCTTGCATTCTATAACATCATCATATAATTCAGATAGCTATATAGTTTAATGAAAATCCAAGTTGATTTAGAAAAGTTTTATAAAAATTTAAATGTGACTATCAGAATTTAGTCCAAACTGAAAATTCTTGCTGTTTTTACCTATTAATGAAATCCTTTAATTTGACAGCAATACACCAAGCTACCAAACAATATGGCATTCTGTAAGATCAATATATCATTGAGATAGCTGCAAAGTTTTATGAAAATCTAAGTTAATTGGAAAAATTTAAAGTTATAATTAAAGGTCACTATATTAATTTATTCAGAACTGAAAATTCTATTTTTTTCTACCTATTAATCAAAGCCTTTAATTTGACAGCAATGAACAAACTAACCAAATAACCTGAAATTTTGTAAAATTAATATAAAATTCATTATATAGTTAGATAGGCTCATTCAGACCAGTCTAGACTAAATTTGAAGATCAAGATTGTAGACACAGGTCGAGACAGAGTCAAGACTGGACGAGCATTTTTCGAATCAATTATACAGACTATACCAAGATTGATATTAATTAATCACACTAGTTAAGGACAGTCAAGACCAAAGTGGATTACAGAAGTGGTCTATAATTACTGCTTATTTCTATATATATATATATATTATATGTGCATTTTTTTCCTATTAAATTAGAAGATCAAACAGACAGTAGAAGTGGAATATGCATAAGTACTGATACATGCTGGCAGAAAAAAGGATCTGGCCGATCGTACTACAGCTTATCAGGTAAAAATGACAGTGCTTATTTCATGTCCATTCAGTGTGATCACCTGGTGGGGTGGATCTATAGAAATGCATTTTGCTTGTTAAATATTAGTTACTTTCTTTTTGGAATATACCCCATTATAAAAAAAAGATGTGGTATGATTGCCAATGAGACAACTCTCCACAAGAGACCAAAATGACACAGAAAATAACAACTATAGGTCACCGTACGGCCTTCAACAATGAGCAAAGCCCATACCGCATAGTCATACCCATTAGTCCAGGCATTATATCCCAAATATACACAGCAAAAAGTTTTATATATTCTTACTTGAGGAAGACTAAAAAATCATGATTTAAAATTCCTATGGAGATTTGCATTGAAAACGGGAGATAACTCTGCAAAAAAGGCAGAAATATCAATTAAAATTGATACAAAAATTATAACTTTACTGCTTCTATTCTATAGAATGTATTGATTGTTGATATTTTAGCCTTCTTTAGAGTATAACAAACAACTCTTAAGGTGTTTTCCTATCTTTTATCAAGCTACATTCTAGATTTCGTCATTCATTAGTTGACCATTTATTAAATTTTTCAACAAGTCAAGGTAAAAAATCTCAAATCTAATAAAAATAATACAGCAGATATTCTTCTTTTTGTGGTTTAAAGTTTCTTTAAACAAGGTACTGGTAGATGCTGAACAAATATAATATACAGATATAAACTAAACCAAACTTTCACATTATTTTTTCAAAATGGTCACAAAGCCACAAATTTGCAATTTGTTAAATGAAAAAAACAAAAAAATACCAATAACTCTTCGGTTTTGTACATTTCATGAGCAACAACATTTTAGTATATGGGGTTCTTTGATATGCTCAATATAAACCTGTTCTTTTCAAATCTTGGCTTGAACATTGTGATTTAGATATAAAACTTCAATATGTTGCATTTTGAAGAAGTTTCAACACTGATTGGAAAAACCACAGGCAAAGTTGTAAACCATAAGGTTCGCATATCAAGCTGTAGAATTTGTGAAAGGGCAAAGGGCAGAGGTGTCTTACCACGACAACATAAGTGTAGAAAGAATTGGAGTGGTTCGGCAAAGGTATTTACCATATGAAAGCAATAACAATGGTAATAAACAGCTGCGCCATGAGCACATGATACGCCCATCACTTTTTCAAAGAGAAAGTTCAATTACTTCTCAATGTCATATTTCTAATGTATAAAAATCAAAAGGGAGCTTACATCAATAGATATAAACAATTCACTAAAGTTTCATGAGAATTGCTGAAAGCATTTTTGAGTCATTGTCCAAAACTGGAAAATCACCCCTTTTTTAATGAATAAAACCCCATAACTCGGAAATGTAAAATCTAAAATTTATAAAAAACCAAAGGGATCTCACATCAATATATATAACAATTCATCAAAGTTTTATGCAAATTAGTTAAAGCGTTTTTGAGTTAATGTCCTACATGTTGACAACAGAAGAACAGACAGACAACGATATCTCATGATACGTCCCGTCATCATTGCATTGTGAAAACAAACAACACCTCAATATTTACTTTGAAAATAAGTTGTAATTTTGAATTGGCATATTCAATGTTTAGTTGATGAAAGTGAATGTGAGGACCATTCATTCTTTAGTGTTTCCAAAACATTTCAATTTCAAATAATTGACAGATTATTAGAATTGTTAGATACAACTGTTGAATTAATCAAACCTTGTACGCTTTCATTTTTGAGGAATTTTTACAAAAAATTTTGTCAATGCAAAGTTTAAGGCTTTTGATAATCAAATATGGGGTTGTGGTATCATCTAAATGTTTACTGAATACACATTATTTTAAAAACTATTTCAGGGTATGGAACCAGATATGGAAGTCGAAATGTTAAAGGAATTAGATGAAAAAGGAGTGGATATATTAGAAGTAGTAGGAGATGATGATTCCACAGGTTTTGACTGAGCCAAGCGATTAATAATGCCCAATTCAAAAATGGAAAAAATAAGTGATAGAAATCATATCAAACATAACATTATTTCAAAGATAAATGAACTAAAGCCAAAACACAAAGAGTTAACTGGAATGGTTTGTGACGCAATTGTTAAAAACTTTACATACGTTGTCAACCAGAATGTAGGTAATCCAAGTGGTATTGAGGACAGCCTACATGCATCAATAAAACACATATTTGGCGAACATGATAACTGCAATGAAACTTGGTGTGGATACCTTAAAGACAAGGATTCCTATATCCATTCAAATCTTCCTCGTGGAAAAGACCTATGTTCGTCTGAACACAGATCAGATCTTGAGAAACTGTTTATTCAAAAAATGGTTCCACAGTCTAAAAAGCTATCTAACTTGGGCTCATCACAGGCAAATGAAAGCTTTAATAACTTAATTGCTCTCAAAGCTCTAAAAACCAAACATTTCTCCACATCAGCATCTTTAAATTACAGAGTCAGCTCAGCCGTACTCCAAAAGAATGAGGGTTATAATTATGTTGCTGAGGTATTATTTGATAAACATCCTATACTTAATTGCAATTAAGACAAATGAACAGAAATTAGCAACTTACATTAAGGCTTTAATAATCACAATGAACATGTAATAAATGCAATCTCACTTCATATATATATATATATATATATACTTCTCTATTAAAAAAAATAAACTAAAAAAATATAAAAATAAGAAAATACGGTATGATTGCAAATGAGGGGGGGTAGGAAGGCACTTTTTATTTGACCCAACCATGCATACATTTTAAATTGGATATTTCATATAAATGTTCAGGCAATCTTTCATAGATAACCACCACCCATCAAATTTTAATAAAAGTGCTGTCCTCCTTCCCATAAATTAATTCTGGAAAAGCCCTTACTTTTACAGCCTTTAAAAATGAGCAAAAAAACCAATACATTATGATATCAACTGTTAAAGATTCCTGGGTAAATATTCTGATTATTCTACATCAGGTCAAGATTAATCTCAATTTTGCCGAATTCTATTCAATGATTGATTATTGCTGCTCAAAATGTAATATTCATACTACAAAATGCCTTCAACTTTCATTACAAAAGCATACAAAATATGATTTTTTTAAGGAATTATTATAAAGATGATAAAGACTTGCATGATTTTAAATGAATTGATTTTTCAGTTAAACACATCTATAGGCCTATCAGCTGGAAATGAGACCCTAAGCAGGGGTAATAAATTAAACAAGAAGAGAGAGGGCAACAAAAACAGATTAAAAAGCAAACAGGGAAAAAAACAACATAAAGTTCTCAAAAAGAAACGCCTACAAAAAACAACAGTGGCTGAAGCCAAAGAAGGGAGAACATACCACAGTTCAATCGGTAATAATTCTTATATTGACAGAAAGTATGATGTGCTTTTTACTTTTGAAGAGGTCAATATACATAATTATTATTATAATAGAAACATAGCATCAATATATACTTTAAAATAGAAACAAGGCTTAGGATATATAAAATAACCTTTGATACATTTGATCATTATATCCAAATAGAAGAATGCAACACCATCAGGTCCATGCATATGTAATATTCATGTATATATTTTTATGTCCCCAGGTCAAAAAAGTTTTCAAATTATAAAGTGACTGTGCAATTAATCACCAACTGTGAAAATGCGTGAGATTTCAGCCAGACATTAAAGTTATATAATTAACATGAAGATGTAATCATGAAATTTACCAGACTTCTGAAGTATTGTAATTTTTGGGACAATTTAGTCACAAAATATTAATGAATTTTAGTAGATTTTGATATTTTATAAAGTTGAAATTATTTTCTTTCAAAGACTTGGTATATATTATTTTAATTAGGGTTAGAAGATTTTGCAACAATAGACATAGAAGAAATACCTGCAGTTCCTGAAGCTGAAACCTTTACAACATAGATGATGCACCAATAGTTTGTTTTGATTTAAAGACAAATGGTTTAAGTATGTTATACATAATTATACTTCAGAAATGAGTTACCTCAATTATAAAAAAATATTTCAGTGGATAATGTTAAAATTGAAAGAACTGGATTTTTTCATGACATCAAAGATATAACAATATCTACAGAAACACATTATCAATGTCTGTATATACTGTGTAAAGCCAAATTTTAAAGTCAATGCATTTTGGCTGCCTTATGAATAAAGTATATTAAGAGGATCATGAATGACTCACCTTGATAATTTAGCTTGCTTTTGATGATTATTCTAATGTTCTTTTTTTCTTTTAGTTGAAATAAAACCAAAAACTGAAAATTGCTGAAACAATACATTTAAGGGGCAATAACTCTTTCATTTTTTTTAGCAATTTACACTTTGCATCTACCTTATTTTGGAAGTGAGATAAAATACAAAGATGATAATTTTAGAAAAATATTTACAGACCAGTGGAGCAAAACTTTTTTTTTTTAGTTATTTCAATGAAGAGAGATATGAAATAAGGAGATGTGGTATAATTGCCAATAAGACCATCAACGAAAGTTCAAATGAGGGGGATAGAAGACTTAGTCCTGTTTATAATTTTTTGACAATTAATTGCTTTTTCGAAATACCTTTTACAGTTTAGATGCACAATAATAAACAAAATGTTTAACTTCAGGTATATATTCTGATATAACCCAGATAGCTGCATGCATCAAAGACAGTTCCTTCAGTCGATATATATTTCCAGACCAACAAATTTCAAGAGAAGCATCAGAAATAACAAAAATCACTATTGTAGGACAAAAAATGTATTACAATGGTAATGCTGTTGTTTATAAGCATAAACATGAAAGAATGACTGATTTTTAACTTATTTGTATTTGTCAAGTTTCACAGATAAACCTGTATTGGTAGGACATAATATAAAACGATTTGACTGCCATGTTTTATTTCATACCTTAAAATCTATGAATATGTACAGTGAACTATGTGCAAGAACTGTTGCATTTTTAGACTCTTTGAATTTGTTTAAACTCGTTTCACCTGGCTTGTCATCGTATAGCCAGTCTTTTCTCGTTGATAAACTATTAGTCAACAGTATTAATCTCATAATGCTGTGTATGACACAAAATTACTTTTTAATTTAGTCACTGAGAAAGGTAATGTTTCTCAATTTATTAGTGAACTTGCTTTTTCACCTAGCTACCCTCAGTTATACCAGATGCAATTGGCCAACTTGAAAACTTTTGAAGAGCTAGTTCAATCAAAATGTCTGTCAAAAGCTATGGCACTAAAGACCAAAAGGTCTAACCTAAGGTTTCAACATTTCCAATTAGCAGTACAACGAAATGACATGGCAGGACTCAAAGCCTTAATGACAGAAAAGTCTTCAACTGGGGTAGTTAGAGTGACATCAAACAAAATAATTATACAAAGAGTATATGAGTATCTAATTAGTCACAAGTAAAGGAAAAATATGTTTGTTAAGGTAGTCAGTCAGTGGTAATACTTTAAGAGCATATGATACAGTTACATGGGAGGTCATGAAGTTTTAACGTAAAATATTATTCCTCCTGTATGATAAGAATTAGAAAATTGATCGTTGTTATGCAGAACTTTACCTTAACTAACCTTTTGTTGAAATTCATGATCAGAGATAAACATTAATGTGTACTGTAAATTAGTGTAAATGGTAGTGTGAGCCCTGCTGTAATATTTGTAAATGTATTGTAGACATATCTTCATGATATAAACCAAATAGTTTTGATAGTTATACAACTTTATATGAACCTTGAATTTTTTTAGATATCATTTTTTTTAAGTTTGTGTAATAATTTATTGTTGATTGGAAAACCATTTCTTACTGGAGGAGATGCATTTGAGTTTTTAATGCATACATAATCCAGTGAAGTAATCTATCCAGCTATAACCCAAATTTTGATCATAAAGATAGACTGTATGAACATAGTATGATAAATTTTGACTGTACAGTTTCTTGAAAAAAAGTTCAACTTGAGATAAGAGTTTCAAAATATGTTGAGTTAACAGTTCTATAAATCTTAGTCTTTTCTGTGTTTTTTTATATATATTTTGGTGGATTTTTTTTATTGCTTGTACAGGCAATTAGAACAAGTATATAGAAATTTTTGGAAAATAGCTTAACAATTATAAAAAAGCAGCAGGAACAATTGTAGTCTCTCAGGTGTTTATATTAGTAAAAAGACATCCAATGTTATTTAGAAATGTTATTGCTGTTGGAACTTTAAAAAATCTATTTATAGATAACATACTTTCATCTGTTTGTACAGAAGTATCAAAATACTGTATATTCAAAAAGTAAAATTTTGAATGAGATGTCTGGCATAATTATACTCCTACCTCTGTGGATGGGAAAGAAGGAGATCTCCATCTTTAAAAGATTGAATATGGGATAAAATGATATCAGAAAGACTTAAACAAGTTACGGCAAATATATTCAAACAAACACTATTTTGATGACTTCAATCATGACTATTTGATGTTTACATGATGATACATGTATTCACTTATTGGTTAGGTCAATGTTTGTGCTGAACATAGTTAATGAAATTTTACACATATTCATTATGATCTACATTTTGCAAATAATTGTATAATAAACCAAATTAGGGTTAAATCTAGAATTTGCATTGTTGAAGTCCAAAGCAAAATGTCTTAATGTTTTTAAAAATTTATATTATTAGCAAGGCTTTTGCAAATTTTATTCAGTGAAATTATTTAACCTAGCTACTACAAACAGTATTTCTAACTGAGAAAAACATGTTATTTATTTGGCATCTTTATTTAATTATATATGTACAAACAAACGTAAGAACAGATATCCATTGAAAATAAAATAAATGTATTAGATCACATGTTGTTGTTTCACTTCTATCAAGAAATATGCTTAGTCATGTTAATTCCCTAAATCAACTCGGTAACACACAAAAAGAAAAACAATTATAATTATAATCACCACATAATACTGGATAATCAAATGGAGTGGAAAAAGGGGGGCACTTACTGTGCTGATTATGTGTGGTAGTGATGGTAAGTCTATTTTTTGTCAAATTTATTCGGAATGTATTTTTTTAATATTAAAAAGAAATGAAAAGAAAACAAGAACAAATGCTCACATTTATATGAATCTTTAATGTGTGATAAAAGAAAGATTAACCATACTAATGGGACATTCGAACTCATATCATAATAAGAAAATAAACAGAAAATGCCATGTTTCCTTTACATAATATTTTATGTTGGTGCTCCTCTAGAAATGAGTCTTATATATAAAGCAAACACAGCCTATTTACACCGAAATCTAATCTGCACATGATACTTAATAATACTTCAAAGTTTGATAAGAAAATGCGAAGGAAACTGCAAAATATCAATCATAACATTTGGTAAAAGCAAACTAAAGTTAGAGAAAGGAAAGGAAAAATTCAGCAATTTTTCAATTTGTAAAGGGGCATAACTCTAGAACGGTTAAAGTGACACCAACAAAATTAAAACTTGGTGTGTGTTGTGTGGTAAAATCATTTTGATAAAGTTTCATAACATTTGGTTGAGGCAAATAAAAGCTTGAGAACGGAAATCAAATCTGGGACGTTCATACGGACGAACAGACTTACATACGGACAAGGGTAAAATTCAATGCCCCCTCAGCTACGATGGGGCATAAAAATTAGCAACTTCTGTCATTTTTTTCCTGTGAATATTCAAAAAGAGAGGTTTTTTCCAATTTCCCCTATATCCATTCAGAAATTAGCCTATTTGTACCCATTTTCAGAGGTCAAAAAATCTCTTGAATGGCCGGTGACCCCAAAATTTTATTCCAATTTTATAAAAAAAAGACTTCAAGCTTTTCAGTATGAAAAAATGAGCAACTTATGTCATTTTGTTTGCTGTGAAAATTTAATGAAAGAGGTTTTATGTCCATTTTCCCTATATTTAGCCTTTTTGCACTCATTTACCGAGGCCAAAAAATCTCTTGGATGGCCGGTGACCACCAAATATTTTCCAATTTCGTAAAATAGAGACATCACGCTTTATAGTATGAAAAAATGAGCAACTTCTGTCATTTTTGTTTGCTGTGAAAATTCAATCAAAGAGGTTTTATGTCCATTTTCCCTATATCTAGCCTTTTTGCACTCATTTTCACAGGTCAAAATATCTCTTGGATGGCCGGTGACCCCCAAATTTTATTCCAATTTCATAAAATAGAGACATCAAGCTTTTCCGTATGAAAAAATGAGCAACTTCTGTCATTTTGTTTGCTGTGAAAATTCAATCAAAGAGGTTTTATGTCCATTTTTCCTATATTTAGCCTTTTTTGCACTCATTTGTAGAGGTAACAAAATCTCTTGGATGGCCGGTGACCCCCAAATTTTATTCCAATTTCATAAAATAGAGACATCAAACTTTTCAGTATGAAAAAATGAGCAACGTCTGTCTTTTTGTTTGCTGTGAAAATTCAATCAAAGAGGCTTTATGTCCATTTTCCCTATATATCCATATAGCCTATTTGCACTCATTTTCGGAGGTCAAAAAATCTCTTAGATGGCTGGTGACCCCCAATTTTTTTTGGATTTTTTCAATTACCATGCTACAAAATTTAAGTTCACAAAGTATAAGAAAATTCTGTCATTTTTATACGACCGCAAAAATTAAAAATTTTTTGGTCGTATATTGGTATGACGTTGGCGTCGTCGTCGTCGTCGTCGTCGTCGTCTGGCGTCGTCCGGCGTCGTCCGAAGACACATTGGTTTTCGCACTCTAACTTTAGTTTAAGTGAATGGATCTCCATGAAATTTTCCATAAGGTTCAGTACCACGAAAGGAAGGTTGGGATTGATTTTGGGGGTTATGGTACCAACAGTTAAGGAATTAGGGGCCAAAAAGGGGCCAAAAATAAGCATTTTTGTAACTTTCAGACAATGACTTGTGTGTAAGTGTATGGATCTCTCTGACATTGTACCACAAGGTTCCATATCACAAAGGGAAGGCTGGAATTGAGTTCGGGGGTAATTGCCTGAAACGTTTAGGAATTGGGGGCCAAAAAGGGGCCAAAAATAAGCATTTTTCTAGTTTCAAGACAATAACTTGTGTTCAAGTGTATGGATCTCTCTGAAATTGTACTGCAAGGTACCATACCACAAAGGGAAGGCTGGGATTGAGTTTGGGGGTGATGAATCATAAGGGGGTTAAAAAAAAATTGTGTGGGGGGGGGGGGGGGTTTCTTTCTTTTTTTCCTTTTTTTTTTTTTTTTTAAATTTTCCATTTTAAGTTGGTTATTTCTGATTTATATTTAAAAGCAAATAATAATGATATGGTAGGAGTTACACACCAAACAGGATGTGTTAATTTTTATATAATAAGTATTGTGCAATAGCAAGAAATTTTCAATTGCACAGTATTGCACAATAGCAAGAAATCTTCAATTGCACAGTATTGCGCAATAGCAAGAAATATCCAATAGGACAATATTGCGCAATAGCAAGAAATTGTCAATTGTACAGTATTGCGCAATAGCAAGAAATATTCAATTGCACAGTATTGTGCAAAAGAAGATACTTCTTATAAATTGCTTATTTCTTGATCAATTTCAATGGGGTTTTATTCTTGAATTCTTGGGGTTCTTTAATATGCTGAATATAACCGTGTATTAAGTTTTTGGATTTTGGGCCCCGTTTTTAAATTGGTCCACATTGAGGTCCAAAGGGTCCAAAATTTAACTTTGTTTGATTTCATCAAAAATTGAATCATTGGGGTTCTTTGATATGCCGAATCTAACCGTGTATTTAGATTCTTAATTTTTGGTTCCGTTTTCAAATTGGTCTACATTAAGGTCCAAAGGGTCCAAAATTAAACTAAGTTTGATTTTAACAGAAATTGAATTTTTAGTGTTCTTTGATATGCTGAATCTAAACATGTATTTAGATTTTTGATTATGGGCCCAGTTTTCAAGTTGGTCCAAATCGGGGTCCAAAATTAAACTTTGTTTGATTTCAACAAAAATTGAA